ATATGAAAGGAACGTGCGTTTGTTCTCTCTGGGGTGCCTGATCAACACGCCTGAGATGACATAACGTTGTCCCTGTGAATGAGCGCGCATGAGAATCCTAGTAACGTTATGTGGCATTGCTCACTGAGCAACGTGGGATAAAGTCACTCCGGTGGTCATTGATTGTTACTACATGTGAATTGTTAGCTGACTCCTGTTCACTTCCTGTCTGACATCACTTCCTGTCTCGCTGTTTGAGACACCCCTTCCTGTCTGACATCACTGCCTGTTGGGCAGGTATAAACAATAAACATACCTGTGCTCAGCGCTCTTAGCATGGGATTATCGAGCAAGCGACATCTGTCTCCCTGACTCTACATGACTCTATAGAAGGGAAATACTTCCAGTCCTTGCATAAAGGAGCGTAGTACAACGGGGGAAATTCTTTGTGTTTGGCGCAGCTTAATGCGACATGGATTTGTGCGTTGAACCAAGTGAATTTCCATAACAGTACGAGGTAAATTTGGTGCTTTTTCTTACCGCCATTAATATTCATGTTTCTGAGGTAAATTTGGTGCTTTTTCTTACCACCATTAATATTCATGCTTATGTGGTAAATTTGGCTCATTTTTCTATTGGCAGTTCTTACCTCCAATATTCATGTGTATGAGGTAAATTTGGTGTTTTTTTTTTCTATGGGTGGTCCTTTAATCCATTAATATTTATGTCCTGAAAAATGTATTTTTTATTAGGTATTATCTTTCAAGCTAATTTGTATACATTTTTAATTTAAAGCTTGCCAAACGAAGGGTTTGCTTTTCAGGAAGTCCCCTTGCTCCCCCAACATGAATGGCTTTAGAAGGGCATTGTAAACAAACTGATACTTCGGTCCGCCATGCATTCGGGAGGCTCTGGTGATGTCATCGCGCCTCAAGGCTGCCCCCTGGGATAGCTGCGTGCTTGAAATCCTTTTGCAATCGGCTGAAGTGCGTTCCCCCAGGAATTGGAGCAAGGCACGGTCATGTCACCTGTGCCTTTTGGAAGCGGAGCAAACACAGGCCAATGCATATAACCATTTCCGGCCGATCTGTTTGTTTACAAACAGATCGGCGCGGCACATTTACATGTGCACATTGCACATTGCGCTGTACATGTTACATATCGCTGCGAACATCGCAGTGAGAGCAATAATTCTAGGGTCATCAATCACTGATAACACTAAACTGATGAGCGTTAAAAGCTTTTAAAGTGCCGGCTGTGGTCAATTTTGGGTATAATAGTTTTTTGCGATGCAGCGGGTGTGCAAAATGTTAAAGCTTGACATGTTTGGTGTCTACTTACCCGACGTGACCCCGTCTGTTATATTTTACCAAAAAATTGGGTAATAATAAACGTTTTATAACATAACGTAGGGATAACAGATTTATTTTCAAAATTTTCTGTACTTTCTTCATTATATAGTAAAAAAAAAAAACCCACAGTGGTGATTAAATACCACCAAAAGAAAGCTCTATCTGTCCCCAAAAAATGGTATAACATTTATTTCAGTGCAGCATTGCATGACGGAATAAATGTGAGTTAAAGTACCGCAGCGCTGAACACTGAAAAATGGCCGGGACAGGAAGGGGGTATAAACACCCCGGTCAGCAAGTGGTTAAAGGAAATTCTCTTTTTTTATTGTTACCCTTTAAGTGATGCTAAAATCACTGCTCCTTTAAAAATGGTATTTTGTAAAAGTTTTTTTTCATTGATTCCTGTCCCCCAGGGCAGTACCCGGACCCCCTACACCTTTTTATGGCCAATAACTTGCATATAAGCCCTCTCAAAGGCGACAATTGTTTTTGACAGTACTCCCATTGACCTGCATTGAGTTTGAATTCAAACTTTTTGGATGTTCTGAAGTTCGAATTCGAACTGAACACGGGCCTGTTCAGCTCATCACTATTCAAGAAGTGACGGGCTGAGGGAAGGCAGCACTCACTACATAAAAGGGATTTTTTACAAGTAAGCTTTGATCGTATTATCAGACACAACTCTAGTATGTATTCCTATTAAAATCCTGATGATATAACAGGAGAGTACAGGGGTAGGCAAATTAATATGGAACTCAGGAGCCAATCCCTGAGCCGGGAGGACTTTTTTTATGGGCCAGCCACATTGATATCAACTAGAGAAAACCTCAGAAGTTGGGTGCCAGCTGTATTTTGTAAGTCGCATTGGCTGCCTGACTCCTGGGATTTGTCCAGCCCCGGAATAGTATATGCCGGGACTTTAGAGCTCTATTAACCTCCCTGGAGGTCTGATTATCTCAGTTTTTTTTTCTATTTTATTTTCGTTTTTTTTCTCTCTATATTTTTTACTTTTAAATTTCCCGCCGGTTCTGCCCCCCTGCGACGCAAGGGACCGAACCCGGAAGACAGATGCCGGCATCGGCTGGAGAACACAGCGGGGCTCGTGAACAAGGCAAGTGACGCTACTGTGTAATCCCGAGTGTGGCTAGTGACGCTACTGTTTAATCCCGTATGTGGCTCGGGGTTACGGCTTTTGGTACTGAAAATTAACCCCCGAGCCACACTAAGGAATACCGCCAGGAAGGTTAATAAATAAAGATTAAAAGAAAAACAATGAGATGGTAGTTTCTCTAGATTCCATAGTAGTGCCTACAGACAGTAGGTGGAGTATGGCTGTGCTCACATGATTCAGCTGCCAAACTACATTGTTCTAGACGTGCAAATTCACATCCGGTGAGCTTACATGTATAAATCCATGGAATACAGCAGGCACTGGCTCAGATGGAGATTAAAGAATAGCTACCAGCCAGGAAAATCTGTCCCAGCCAATCAGTTCTTCCCCTGAAGAGGTTCAACCAGTAGACGTCTAGGGAGGCTTATAGACAATGCGGATATACCCAAATCTGACAGCTGAGTCCGGCAAACATTCCCAAATAAAGTACAAATGGGGCATTTTTAATACAGACCTGAAAACACTGATCAGAATTCCGTTTTCTTCAATCCCTTTAAGCCAATACAAATCTTATGTGAGTGATGGATGTAGCTTTAACAAGCGTTGAGCAAGCCTCTGCAAGGATCCTGGAAACTATTGGGCTGAACTCTGCAGATCTTAACTCAATATTTGGCATATATCTGCTGAATGTGATGCTCTTTAGGCTGCCATTTAAAGTGTATCTCTAGGCACAACCAAGTTTTGGGTTAGATTCAGTTTTGGATATATTCAGGAAGGTTTAGACCCTCTCTTGCTGTCTGTGTCCCTACCGGAGAGATTCACCCCTCGATTTGTACTGGTGAGAAAGAAAGTAAGGGGAAATAAAAAATGTGCTTCTTTTTTATTTGCTTCCTTTTTGTTTGGTAACTAGACCATTGGACATGTTTTGTTATAGCTGTTAGATAGGTGCAAAATAAACCAGTTGATCCTTCCAGAAATCTTGTAAACTGATCACTTCCTGTGCTGCTTGCGTTGCACTGTTATCAGATACATCGTTCTCAGCCACCTCTTTGAACTAGGAAACCCCTCTCCCCTATTTTACGGAGAAGAGTTTATAGGGAGATGTTCCTATTCTTTTCCTAGTGTGACATCACTGCTCCTCCATGGGTCCAGTATGATGAGAGAGTGTTTCTACCCTAGGACAGGAAGTGTGTTACTGGCAGGCTCAGCATGTGAAAATAAAGGAAAGAAGCCACCACATCTAAAGACTGGTAAGCTGCAATATATTACATTTTGTTCTTTGTCGTAGATATGTTTGTTCTGTTTATATTTATATTGATGTTCATACCCTGTTTCCCTGAAAATAAGACCTACCCCAAAAATAAGACCTAGTACTATTTTTGGGAATTGCTAAAATATAAGACCTACCCCGAAAATAAGACCTAGTTGTGACCAGTCCCAGGGCCGGTGGTGGCATAAGGGGGAACCTGAAGAGCCGCGGGAGAGAATCAGCGGTGCCAATGAAGCCAGCACTAGAGGAAGTGAGGCGGCAGTGGAGGGAGCAGAGCCGCATAAGCTGATGTTTCCTCTATAGCGCCGGTTCCTGTCACAGGCGGAGTGATACCAAATGCACTCCGCCGGTGAGGAATCAATATTGAAAGTGTGCTTCGCTCATTCCGGTTACCAAATTGCTCTTGGAAAGGTACGGCACCCCCTGATTGCCCTGATCACCCTATTATTAACTTTGCCATTTTGGATTATTTCATTTGGATTTGCATTAACCTTGGATTGTTATACATTAAAAAAATAAATAAGACCTACCCTGAAAATAAGACCTAGTGTGTTTTTTTTTTAGTCAAAAAAAATATAAGACAGTGTCTTATTTTCGAGGAAAAAACACGGTACATACAGTACACACACACCATAACATTTTGCTATATTTAAACCAGTGGTTCTCAACCTGTGTAACCTCAGGACCCACATTTGTCCTTAGTCATTTAGTTGCGACCCAAGTCGCATTGCAATGGAACACACAGCATTGTGGTACCGCGTGTTTCGGTGCGCTGTGGGTGGGGGGTGCGTTTGGGATGCCATTCAAAAGATCCACCGAGTCTCCATACCTTACGAGAGCTGGAGTTGAGCCTTAGCCTGGGGTCCAGTGTGGGCTGCTGTGCTATGATTGAGCTCCATCCATATGTTCAATACTTGAACAGCTCCCTTGCGTGCCCTGTAGAGGTGTCGGGAGCCACAATGTTACATCACTCCGGTCCAGACACCTCTACAGGACATGCAAGGGAGTTGTACGTATGGATGGAGCTCCCTCACGGCCATAGCCCCAGCCCATCCCACCTCAAGCAGACACTCGGCATCGGGCAGCATATTTTGAAAGGCTGCTTGGCGAGAGAACAGACAGGAGGAGGCTGAGGAGCCTCTCACCTAGCCAAGTGGGAAGCCCACGGCGACCCACTGACACGACCCACCAGTTGAGAACCAAGGATTTAAACTATATAAACTATAAATGCAGTAAACATATTCTGCATGGACCACAGTGTAATAACACAGACAACAGACATGAGTTTAACTTATTGTTTAATTTTAATAAATAGCTAGAACAGTTTTCCTTTGGTTTTCTCGCTTCCATTTGTTTTCTTTGCTACAAGCTGCAACTCCCACAGAGGGCTGGGGACAAGATAACATGATGCTGCGATTTACAAAACACTGGCTTGGTAACTTTCACTGATGGAGGAGACACTGGGGGGAAAGAAAAGGCATTCTTAGTCCTGGTATACTCCAGCTGGGTGATATTTTCCTTCACTTGTACGCGGAATAATTGAGGCGTGACAGGGAGGGAGTGCTATAAAAAGGGGCAAAATTGGAAGCACAACTTTGAAGGCACTTGGAAAAAAAAAAACAAAACAGAAAAACAGCCCATCGATAACCCAGCCCTTGCCGTCGGACCTGGTGGACACCAGGAGGTAAGGGCTTTGGTAAGACGGATGGAAGGTTGGCAGTGATGTGTTTCAGAATATCGAGTTGAGACATCAGAAAGGGACAGTGTAACAGAAAGTCTTAATGGAGGTTTGGGCTGATATCTGACTTATTTCAGTAAAAAGCTGAATTCCTTTTACTGTGGTTTTTCTGTCAAGAAAGGAAGAGAAAACAAATGATTAGAGACTTGCAGTGTACTTTAAACCAAAGCAGTTGTTTAATTTCTTGTACTGGGATGTGCATCTCACAGAAAGCTTTTTCAAGTGTTTGGTATGCAAGACTTTATTAGGAACTGTTTAATTTAAAGGTCAACTACACCCAAAACTGATATTTTTTTTAAGCGGACCTGCACTAAAAAACTGAAGATTTGCTGTCTTATAAGTAACATCTAGAAATGTGCCTGAGCATGATGCTGAAATATTCAACTTTTGTTTCTTTTTTGGATTCCTTTTGGAAATAAGAGCACTTCCTGTGCCTAGTCCCTCCTGTACCTTGAGCCTCATAGCTTTATGTTTGCAGTGGGACCATTGAAGTCACTGCTGCCTCTGACCGCTAGTGTTACCACATTGGTGCTTAGATTTGGTGAAGTTATCACTGTGCTGCTCACTGTTCTCCTTGCTGGACAGGAAGCTGTACCTGGGGACCGGGATTCCCCTGTTTCTGGTTTATCCAATATGTGAATTTGTGCTAAATCTACCCCTCCTGCTGTTTCTTTAATATTAATACCCCATCAGTAAATCAGCAGCTCTGACTTGAAGAAGCACAGTCCTTTGCATCTACCAAGAAGGCCGCCTTATTACAGAGACTGATTTAATAGATTAGCTAAGCATGTTCACTTTGCAAGGGAATTTTTACTTAGCTTAGTGAATGAGGTGAAATGGTACTGAGTCCTTTCATCTAATATGCCATCTAATATGCCATGGGGTTGTTTTTTTTTTCGTTTTTTTTTCATTTTTCTTGCATATTTTTTGCAAAGTGAATTATCACCATATTCATTAAGGTAAGTGGAAACTCCCTTGCAAAGTGAACACACTTTATTGCTTCACTAAATCAGCCACACAGTATGACAGAAGGCAGGACACATCAGGAATAGGGAAAAGATCAGCTGCTGGGGAGTCTACAGGTAATTCTAGTGACTAATCCTTTGTCCTCTGCTGCCAAGTTGAATCATATGCTGGCTTCCTATATTTCCCAGGAATTCCACGGGCAATAAATTCCCCCCAGAATTATCGGTTCCGCCCGGTACCCAACAGCCATTACAAAGCCAAGTAATGATGTCACACTCGTGAAATAGATTCACGCAAATGTGCAGTAGACAAACAAATCCTGCAGCAGAGTGACACCTTCTATATGGCTTTTTTGGAAAAGATGGGAGGTGGGTTTAGAGTCGCAATCTGCAGGAAAATCTCTTTGTTTGAGTCACCAAAAGATTTAAGAAACTAGTTGGCGATTCATCTTACCATGCCTGCCACAAAAGTGAAATGATTCATATGTTATTTAAATGGTTATGTTTTGCAACCTAGCAGAAAATATTTTAAAATGATCTAAGGCAGCCATATACACAGCGTACATTATATATTAGAGATGTTCAGATACCAAGTACCGTACTCGGTACAAGTACAAGTCAGTGGCATCACAAGGGAGGGGCGGGGGGTGCGGCCCGCACCCGGGTGCCACCATTGGAGGGGTGACACCAAAATGACTGACAGTCATTTTGGTGTCACCCCTTATGGAATGTCGAGCACTCAGTCACGGACCGAGAGCCCGACAGTGTCAGGAGAGAGAAGGGGACCCGGCGGCATACCTTATCCCGCCGAGTGAACGTCCCCTCCTCTCTCTGCCGGCGTCCATCACCAAAATGGCCACCGGCAGGCGTCAAAAAGACCACCGCGCATGCGGTAAGGAGCACACGGAGCTCCCGGGATTTGTACATCTCTGTTTTATTGTATGATTTTGTTTTTATAAATATAACTAAAGGGATGCACTGATACCATTTTTTCAAGTACGAGTACTGATACTTGTCCAAGTCCTCACAGATACGAGTACTGATACATTTTTGTTTATTGTCATGTGACCGTTTTTCTAAAACAATACAGACTAATGATTTCAGGACAGTGGTGGAGCGTCAGAGCCCGGTCCCAGCTGCAACTGCCGCCACCCTGGTAGTTCAAGGATCAGCACTGATATCTGAACTGGTATCTGAGCATCCTTATTATATATTAGCTGTATTGCCTGCAGTAACCAATCCTAAGTTCCCAACATGATTTAATAATACTTGTTAGAGAAGTGAAATAATTATTTGGCTGATCTGGGAAACACAGGCAGTGAACCTTTTCAGCCACGCGCAGCAATTTGTACTTTAGTAATATACCTAACTTACCTGGAAGCAGAGATCCGCATCCCATCAACTGAACTGTATTTTTTTATCATGACAACAGAAACAAATGATACTTTTTTGAGAACAAAAAAGTCTCCCACTTAACATATTTTGAAACAAACTCAACAATCCATCTTTTTGTACTCAAAACTTGGTTTTGAATCTGCCCAATTACCTTTTTTTGGTTGTACAAAAATAAAGCTGACAGCAAGTACATATGATACAATTTTTGTACCATATGATTGCTGAGAAATTGACATTTGCAACAAACATAGATGTCGAAGACATTGCCTTGTGCTGTGTGTATGCCTAGATCACAGATTGTAGAACAGGCCACGTTGCTTTTCAGTTCTTATAATGGTTGTATAATGACATGAGAGACAGAATAGATGTGAACTTGAAATAAATGGCACATAGCGTAGATAATGAAGAAAACTAGACAAATGGGAAATCCCAGACAGCAGAGAGAAGAGGAATAGGTATGATCAGAGCATTGTTAATCATTTCAGTCTGGATAAGGTGTTTCTATGGAAGGGAGTTATTGTTTTAATTACAAGTTTTAGTGAACAGTTTAGTCGTGTATTGTTTTGTGGAAAATATGTAAAGGTTCAGTTTGAATTGCAATTTATTGTGTTGGGAGTTTGAAGTGTCTACTGCTTTAGTAGCAGGGCCGGATTAATAGCATCATGGACCTGGTGCTGTTGGTCAGTTGGACGGGAAGCAGCAGAGGCTGCTCTCTAATTAGGCAGCCACATATTCCTCACTGGTGCCCCATGAGCCGCCGGTCCCTCTGCCTGATTGTGTTCAGCCCAGATTGCCATCAGGCATACTGAGGCGATCTGAGCCGTCCGGGCCTATTTTCAGTGGTGGGCCTGGAGCAGGCGCTATAGTAGCCCCTATGTTAATACGGCCCTGTGTAGTAGATGTGCTACGAATAGGAACTGGGTGACGAAACAGACAAGACTTATTTGGAAGACATATTGTAAATGGCAATAAGTTAGGTTACAAATGACAGACAATGGAGCAGCACAAAAAGGTGAATGAATAAGGGTAACCGCATGCAGATGATAAAGACAAGAATTCTGTCAATACATGCAATGTAATGGGATACCTGTTAAACAACAACAACAGGGAAGTGGTAAGGAAAGATTTATCCTATGGGAGAGGATAGAAAAATACTGGTTTAATATGAAGACATTTAATGGAAATGGTCATTAGTTGTTTGTATAACTTAACAAGACTTAGCATTCAAACAGTGATACATTTGCTCCTGTATGTACAAAAAAAAAAGACCTTTCTGGCCTTAACATACTTTATGTTTATCTTGATCTATAATATTCAAATGTATCAGCATAAAAATGCATGGATTCTTTTATCACTGTTTGATTTTATTGCACTTCTGGATAAGCTCTTCAAGGAACTGATCAATAATAGTGAAACAATGATAGGAGGATATTGTTTAGGTGACACGAATCCTTCAGGTATGGACAACTGTTGCTGAATATTGTGATTTGGTGATTTTGCCCAATATGAATGTTACAGATCAGGTTTCTATAAGTCACCATTGCTACAAATTAAAATGATTGTACTTACCTTCAAGGTAGTTACGGGCAACGAATTTCAAAAGCTCATCAATTAGGATGACAGGGAAGGACATCTTTAGTACAACAAGCCACTTAGTCACATCTAGAGGTGTTAACTTGAAGATCATCTGAGGGATGGATAAAAAAAACCAGAATGAGGCAATGTCCTGTAGGATCTGTAATAATTGTCTGAACTCATGCGAATAGCAATTCATTAATAAGGAACATTTTGTTTTTAACTTGCAAGACTAATACGTGTTTGAAAATACTCTTACTCTGCAACTTTGAACGAAATATAGCTCTGGTTTCATATTAAAAGGAAAATAGCAGGTTCTTCTTGATATATAATCCTTTATATATAAATCTTTTTATATCATTCTGAATCTGATTCAAGCAAGATGTTGGATCCTTGGCAGGTTCACCAACTTGTTCACCTTTTTGCAGGATGGGATTTATATGTAATTGGAACAATGACTGGGAAAGATAGGTGCATGTAATTGATAAATGGTTTTCTTTTCTAGACATTATATTGTAAATGATGTGTTATGTGTAACAGGATTACACTTTAAGAACATTAGTTAAAGTCAAGATGAATTATTTCCGATATCTACCATTTCTTATTGTACTGTATTACTCCCCTGCTCGCCTATACGCGAGGAGGTATACAGCCCTGCCTCGAGAAACTGGTTTCCTCGGGTATATCAAGTGATTATGTACATGACACCTATCTCTTATCCGATATACAGTAATGCCACGGACTTTGGCCGGAGACGGCAGGTCCGTGCTTGTCACGTGTTTCCTCTAGCCTTCTCTCTTGCTACTTTACCCTCCTAATATTGTATGTATCGTCCTTTAATTGGAAGTATATTGCTGTGATGTTGCCATGTCTGTGTATGGATATCCCTGTTTCTTAAAATAAAGAATTTGAAAACAAAAATAAAGATTAATTGAATATATGCTGTAAAAACTCACACAGTCTATTATTTCTTAGCTAAATGATACTTATTATACAGTATTATAATCAGTGCCTATAGCCTGGTCTTCCTTTTATTTTATGAAACTTAAAGACTTCTACTCACAGGCAGAGGGTCAACATAGAGGATAAGGAAGTGGAGGGACATGGAGAGGCAGATGGAGCCCAGCAGCCACATGTTGGACCATGGGGGCATTCTGATCAGAGACTGGTTCTCTGAAAGACTGTAAGAAGTAAAAAAGAAAATAAGGTCTCTTTGTGTCCTGTTATTATCCAAGGATATACTGTGAGAAAACAGAAAAGAAAAAAAAAACTTACCTGTTCAGAGCATTGCACATCTCAATTGTGACCAACACAGACAGGGCCATGGTCATTGGAACTGGAGACTCAAAGATTTCACATTCATGACCATCAAAGTCAGGATTGTCTTCTGTGCACTGCATGAAGTGGCTCTGGAGGTAGAAAGGTAGTCGGAAAAATTGCTTAACATTCCATAAAATAACAATATTCAAGCTGAAGCTTTTCATATATTTCCTCCGTTAAAGTTTTCTTCAATTAGTAATGTAGAGGTATACATTCCACAGTGACAAAAACCGTCTTTGTAGAAATCATATTATAATATGTAAAGTATTTGTGAAAGGAAAAACAGAAACATATCCTCACCAGTTGGTAGAAAGTGACCTGAGGTCCATCTTCAGCAGACATAAACCACCAGACAGCAGCAGCAACAGTGGCTGCACCAACATAACCTGCAATTTATATGGTTATTAGCACAAAGACTTATGACAAAAGAACAAAAAAAAAAGCAAACTGCTCACTTTAAATACAAAACAATGCACCATACCTCCAATAGCCATGTAACGGAAGAAGAGCCATCCGCTGATGAGGGGCTCCTTGGGGCTACGTGGTGCTCTGTCCATGATGTCCAGATCAGGGGGGTTGAAGCCCAGGGCTGTGGCAGGCAGACCATCTGTGACCAGGTTCACCCAGAGCAGTTGTACGGGGATCAAAGCCTCAGGCAGACCCAGAGCAGCAGTCAGGAAGATACTGTTTGAGACAAAAATATGGACTTAGAAGTGGAGTTTCCAATTAAAATATTTGAGCACTGCAAATTCTAAGCAGCATAGTGACTTAGTGTGATGGGTGAACCAAAGTGTTACAAAATAGGTTCTAAACATGACTTGACAATTAGCCCTTTATTTGGACCAAAACTTGGAGTCTCATTTAAATCTCTAAAAGCATCCCTCGGACATAGTGTCTGAAACTGAAAAACTCACCAGACGACCTCTCCTACGTTGGAGGAAATGAGGTAGCGGATAAATTGCTTCATGTTGTTATAGATGGCACGGCCCTCTTCTACGGCAGACACAATGGTGGAGAAGTTATCATCAGCCAACACCATCTCTGAGGCTGACTTAGCCACAGCGGTACCAGAGCCCATAGCAATACCAATCTCAGCCTTCTTCAGAGCTGGGGCATCATTTACACCGTCACCAGTCTGGCAGAAGAAGGTAATATATAATGTTAACATTTTTACAGCAGAGACATTCGGTTCATGAAATCTGTCAGAAGGAATGACGTGTTCAAAAATCTCCATATCATTTATTCACATACCATAGCTGTAATCTCATCGAAGGATTGCAGGAACTCTACAATCTTGGACTTGTGAGATGGCTCGACTCTGGCAAAGCAGGAAGCACGCTTGCAGGCTTCCCTCTGTTCTGCAGGAGGCAGATCATCAAACTCACGACCAGTGAAGGCACGGTTTGACACATCTTCATTCTCACCAAAGATGCCAATACGACGGCAGATGGCAATAGCTGTGCCCTTGTTGTCACCAGTGATCATGATGACACGGATGCCAGCCTCACGGCAAAGCTGGATGGAGCCAGCAACCTCTTTACGTGGGGGATCCAGCATACCTACACATCCAACAAAGGTCAGGTCAACCTGTGGAATAAAAGTTGAATTAGCTGCAGCAGTAATGTGATAACTTTGCATTTGAACAGAGGACAGGTTCTACTATGAGATACTAATGAGCTGGCATGTAGATGAGTTAATTTTTAGATTTTTAATGGTGTGGCTTTTTATTGGCTATGACTTATTTTGAGGTATTCTTTGTGCTTGTGACTCCTGAAAGTTCTCTACAGACACGAGTCTGTTATTGGGAGAGCATATATTGTCTCATGATCTTACTTACACAGTGTTAAATTGTGATATATTTTGTATATTGTGTCTCGGCATTTCCACATTACCTCATATTCAAAGAATTTGGTGGCATCTTCCAGAACCATGTCTTCCCTCTTTGGTGGAGTGTCCCTTGTGGCAAGAGCCAGACAACGCAGGGTATCTCTTCCTGTGCCCCACTCTTTGATTACACTCAAAATCTTGTCCTTGATGGCACTAGTGAGGGGTACGCGGGTTGTGCCAACACGTACATAGTTGCAACGGTCAATCACACCTTCTGGGGCACCCTATATAATAAAGAATATAGGACAAAAATTACCTTTAAAAATACGCATGAATACCCCTAAAACTAGCACTGGATGAAAATACTATGCTGTGGTATTTACCATGGCATTTTATGAGAGTACTATGTCATAAATATAAGGTATGTACACCCACGTCATTTATGTTTACACATTTTATTGCACTAAAATAGGATAATATACTAAAAATGTTACAATGCAAAAATGGCCAGTACCCTTTTTTTTAAAAAATGTTACAGGTCTTTTTTTTTTTTTAGCAAGTTCACTTGTTGTAGATACAGTATGTAAGGCTTAAAATTGATCTTACCTTCACAAACATCTTGTTGCCAACGGCAGCACGGGAAGCCTTGGCGGGTGTGCAGTAGACAGACATGGATTTTCTGTCACGTGAGAACTCAAGGGTGAATTCCTTCTTCATCAGTTGCTTGATAACCTGAGTTATAAAAAGGATAGTTTTGGTTTGTTAGGGGCCATGTTGATGCCAATTATTGCCCTTTATTTATGGCTGCTGGTAAATTAGCTATTATGTATAACTTTTTGAGTTTTTCCAGCAAGGATTTAATATCTCTGTTTTATTTAATTGATCTCATTCAGTCTAGACTATTAAAGGGAACATATCATTATTACGTCAGTTTTGTTTAACTATTGTAAGATTAACACATTAATAAAATGCTTTACACAATTTGTAATTATTTGTATAAAATCAGTTGTTTTTTTAAACAATTAATATTTAATGCAGGGTGCATCCATGACACTAAGTTGCAAAGCATGCTTGGCTTTCTAATAATAAAAACCAGCACTGCCAGCGTATCTAGAGATACCCTTTGTTAAACTGACTAAGACAGCCAGTCTTTTTGCCATAACTCAGCAATGAGAGAGGTGGCTTGTGTGTCACACTTGGTGACAGATCCTAAAATATGTGTAATCTGATCTATCCAGCTCTTCAGGTCTATTTCAGAACAGCAGTAGGTTTATAGGTCTGGCTAGGTTTATAGCAGCTGGGCTTTCTTGACAATGTATCTTTAATAGTTCATACATACTAAATGAAAAGCAAAACAAATGTAAAAATCTGGAAAATATTTTTTAAGAAATCAATAAACTTCCTTTTTTTTATTTCTTAGATGATTCCTTGCTGTACTTTAAATGCTCAGAACAGTTTCTTAAGCTTCTTAAAGGATTTTGCTTACAATAACAGGTGTTTGATATAGATGGGCGTTACATTTCTTGTACATGACAAGTCCAGGCCAGGTGTCTGGTATAGAAGGTCTCTTGAAAAACTACAGCCAACAATCTGTAAGTTACATGCTGTAATTAGCTTTCTATATTGGTAGTAAGCCGGAATAACTTGTCACAAGATGGGCAATGGCGCTGGGAAATTGAGGGTTCTATATATTTAGGTAAAAACTGGTCACTGTATCTAGCCTTGCTATTTCTCCTGTTGAATTAGTTTTATCAGCAAGTGAAAAGGTGTTTTTTGTTTCATTTATATGACTAGAAATGTAAATAAAACCTTTTCTGCCATTTTATTTCTCACAAATTAAGAAAAAGAATTAAAAGTTTTTTCCTAAGTACTGGACATGGAATGGCTAAAGGAGTGGCCAGTACTGATGGAAGGCAGAGTATATATGCTGGCACTTACAGAGTTGCAGGCATTGGCACGCTCCACTTTGGACAGGCTCTTCACTTCAGTGTTGAATACGTTCATCTTCTCAACCAGGGTTGTCAGAGCAACTTCAGTAGCTTCACCAACCTTCTCAAAAACACCCTTAGACTGGTGGAAGGAAAATATTAAGATGGTAAATTCCGAGCCAACATTTTTTAGGTGCCATCACAGCAGCCAAACAAACATGCTTGGTACATTTCTAGCTGACTCTATGTCTGAAACTACTTTAGCATTTATTAGATCAAGAAACTACTTCAAGATTTGCTTTGCAAGGTACATACTGTATAGTGTATGTACAGTGCCTGTTGGTACAAAAGGAGCTCTAAATATTTAGTTCACTCACTACATGTAATATGGTCTGTCTTCAAAAGTTACAAATATCAAATGAGCTACTTTTCATTGAGTTCCTAGCTAGCATCCTCATCTACAACAAACTATGAATTTGCATTGAGTCCCTGTCAGTGTAATGTTCCAATTGTAAATGTGCCAACAATTGTAAATATTGGAACTCTTTCCTGTACCATCAGCATTAATGTACACCTTACTTGTTTCCTATCTAATATTCTTGTGTTGTGGCTTCAATGATTTCTAAATCATTAACCCCAAACAAATGTAGACGTGAGGAACTCAGAACCTTTTCTGTCAGTCATATGCTGCATGTTTGGTCCAGATCTATGACTCAGAAGTACTGGAACCATAGGTGAAAAAAAAAAACTAGACTATTCAGGACTAGGCCAGCAATAGCAGCCTAAATGTTTCACCGCTGCTAGGGGTACTTTAAGTAATAAGGGCCCAGCCTACAGTGTTTTGCATTGCTATGAATTTTAAGAGGAGAACCTCAAGCCACAGTCTGTTAAGTGTTTTTACCTAGTCAGTTTAACCCAGCCAGCGCTACAGTAAGATAAATAAACACCGTAGCATTATGCTATGTTTCTCACTTAGTCTGAAATTTAAAATCATATTTTAATTTAGTTCATCACACTTACAGAATAGTCACTACACTTAGATTTTAGTATCCAGAGCATAGTACACAAAACTATTAGCACATGCAGTGTTAGATTAAACAGGCCAAACATACAGTAGTTGAGAGGGAAAACGTAGTGATGTTTTCTATTTGTGTTTACCTCATTAAAGTCGAGAGAAGAGTCATTGCAAAGTGCACAGATTGTGGCCAACTCCACCAAACCATCATACTGGCCAGCTTTCACAGGCTTATCATTCTTCTCACTGAGAGGACACCACAGGAAAAGAAAGGGGGGTCCAGGAAAGTATGACAGGAGAAGAGATTTGTTGAGACAGGGAGAGATGTTTTAGAGAAGGATGGAGAGGGACATAGATGTGCAGATATTCAAATAAAATGATAAAGGATATCATAAGAGAGAAGCAGTAGATATCATGGTAGAGTGAAAGAAGTGAGTTTTAATACAAGCTTAAAAGGAGATGGTGCAGAAGGGCATGGGAGGGAGAAAATTAGAGACATAGCATAACTAATTTGCTAAGTAAAGAACGGTATGGGGACATGAGAGTAGGTAATGCAAGAATAATTATTTATGCAGATGGAAAGCAAAAGCGTGCTATGTATAAAAGTGTAGGCTTCAATGTGGCACTTAGGTGCAGTAGTGCAAACGGTGCAGTGCAGAAACTCCTAGTGTTCCCTATTGTGTTGCAGTTCATACAACTATTGGTTGAAAGGTAAAATGCACTGGTAAGCAGCGATATTTATATTAAGCATTTAACTGTATTTAAACTTACACTTCTCCTTCAGGGGCATAGGTGGATCCAGTAATGGTGAATTCATTCAGGGTGCAAGAATCACCTTCAACTTTATCCATTACAAACATCTATTAAAAAAATAATCTTATGAAATATACTCTTTGTTTATTGATTTGGATGCCATATAGTTACAAAAGTGCTAATACTTGTAAGTGGATATTATATTTAGACTTGCCATAAAGGTCATTATGTATGCTTACCCTGCAGACGGACATCTGGTTGGTAGTCAGAGTACCAGTCTTATCAGAGCAGATGACTGAGGTGCAACCAAGAGTTTCTACAGAGGGCAAGCTCCTTACAATGGCATTCTTCTTGGCCATACGTCTTGTACCCAGGGCCAGACATGTGGTGATTACAGCAGGGAGACCTTTGTGTAAAGAGTAACTCTTAGTAAAATCATGTACTGCTTTAGTCTGAAAATCTATATATCCAAAAGGCACTCTAGAGAATAATGCTCTCACCTTCAGGGATGGCAGCTACAGCCAGAGCCACAGCAATCTTGAAGTAATAGATAGCTCCTTTGATCCAAGAGCCACCATGGATGGGGTCATTGAAGTGTCCAATGTTGATAAGCCATACAGCAACACAGATGAGGGAAATGACTTTGGACAGTTGCTCTCCAAACTCATCAAGTTTCTGCTGCAGGGGGGTCTTCTCCTGTTCAGTGGCTGCCATCTGATCACGAATTTTACCAATCTCAGTGTTGGGGCCAGTGGCAATGACAACACCAATGGCCTTGCCAGCTCCTACGTTGGTACCCTGAGAAAAGGGAAGAAGGTTATCAACTGTTCCACAATTCGCAACAGATGAAATGAACAAAAAACCCAGTAATAAGGGACAATGTCAAAAACACTTACGGAGAACAGCATGTTTTTCTTGTCCTGGTTGACAGCTCTGGGGTCGGGAACAACTTCTGTGTGTTTGATGACAGAGACGGACTCTCCTGTTGGAAGCAAACAGTTTATGTGAGACATTTACAGAATGAATCAACAAGTTTTCTGCAACAACAACAAAGCTTTAATCTGGAAGTGGTGTTCTTACCTGTCAGGATGGACTGGTCAATACGCAGGGTGGTGGATTTAATGCTGATCAGTCTGATGTCAGCTGGGACTTTGTCACCAACTAGGAAGGAAGGACAATTCGTACGTGAAAACCCGTGAAGAGTAACTCCATCAAAGGTAACATGTCTTTATTTCAGAAACTTTTTGCAAGGTCAAGAAATACATTCGTATCATTGTTGGCTTGTCTTTTAAACTAGCTGCAATCTTTATTAATTTTCTATCCGCTATTTTTAACCTGCTGTTTAAATCATTATTCCCCCCAAATTCAGATGTCTTAGGAGTCAGGTGGGTTTCTCATATCGCTTTGGGATTCTCATGGTGAGATCTTCTCAGCTCTGTTCTCAGCCACCTTGCGGTGGTTTCACTCCTCCCTTGGCATTTTTCATAATATAAAACAATCTAAAGAGCAGAAATCACTCATAAATGACCAGGATAAGGAGTTTAGGTCTTGAAATGTAAGCGCATAGTTCTCCCCACTGATATCCTAAAGATAATCCTGAAACCAACAAAAGCTGTAATATTTGTTTTGGGTCAACTGACCTTTTACTGACTATGGTATTTTAGACCAGAGGTTCCCAACCAGGGATCTGTATTCTGTAAGGGATGCTTTGGACATGTTCAGGGGGTTTCCCTCATTGTTAAACCTAAATTATCACTGAAATCTTACAGTTTTAGCATATATTGAACCTCATTCCATGAAAGTTTATGATCGTATCTTAGGGATGTAAAAACATAAGGGAATGCATGAAAGGTTTTAGGCAGTAGATACCTTGCCTCCTTAAATGTTTTAGAAAGGTCCTTATGTTGCCTGGAATAGTCAGTGAGGTGCATTAATCAAAACAGGAGCAGACAAAAACTATAGGAGATGTGCAAGGCAACCAACTAGCTTCTCTCTTTCATTTTCAAATCTTAACAAACTGAAGAGAGAAGCTGATTGGTTGCCGTGCATATCTGCTCCAGTTTTTGTCTGTTCCAGTGTTGATACATTCTCCCCAATGTGTGTTTTCATGATTGTTTCAATGTTTTAAATACTATTAACAGTTTAGCAAATTTAAAAATAAAGATAAACTTATAAATTCAGTATACACCAATGTTTTTGGCTGTATATATTGGATCATCATATTACCAACAATGTAATATGATAATCCATATCCATGTAGAAAAGTACATCTTGTTCTTGTTTGAGTAGAGTCCATGTGATTCAACACATTATGCAATGCACAGTTTTGCCAGTGGCCACCATGTTTCAATAGCCAGTAACATGTCGTATGCATTGCATTCAGCAAATACTTCCTTACTCTGCAGAAGCAGAGGTAGTATTAATAGAGACTGACAACCACTTGTAAATAGCGTTGTTCCCCTATTGTATATGTTATAGTGAAATACAGTGGTACCTTGGTTCACAAACTTAATTCGTTCCACGATTCTGGCCGCGAACCGAATCAAACCGTGATCAGAGCGTGATCTTGAATTTTGCCGAACTTCCTGTTCGTGAACCGAATTGTTCTCGAACAGAAGCGTTCGTGAACCGAGGTACCACTGTATAATAGTTGGTAAAAAAGTTCTTTGAAAAAGTGGCTTTGGCATTAAGGTAGTCATCTAGGTTGTGTCCATCACCCGATGCGGAGTTTGTGAACGGAAGCAACATTTTGCCGAACTTCCTGTTCGTGAACCGAATTGTTTGCGAACAGAAGCGTTCGTGAACCGAGGTACCACTGTATAATAATTGGTAAAAAAGTTATTTTAAAAGTGGCTTTGGCATTAAGGTAGTCATCTAGGTAAAATATATATGAGAAATATGTTTTTCAATATTAAGGCATAAGGATGCTCACCTGCAACTTCCACAATGTCTCCTGGCACAATCTCTCTCGCCTTAATTCTTTGGACAGATTTTCTGTCACTGCGGTAGACTTTTCCAATCTCGGGCTCATATTCCTTAAGAGCCTCAATGGCATCTTCAGCGTTTCTTTCCTAAATCACAATAAGGACTTTTTAGGAGCATTTTCATCATTTTAAAAATCGTCTTTATAATCAAATTATAAGTAATAACTCGTAAGTCAATGGTTTTAACCCCCCCCCCCCCCCCCCTTTCCTTTATCCCAGGCCTTGCCAGTAGAGAACATAGTGAATCACAATGGGGAAGTGTAGATGGAACTGTGACACTGAAAATTGATTAATCTAAATGTGTTTATGAAACTAAATCCATTGAACCCCTGGATGCTGGGAAGACCTAAATATTGATTAGGGAACCCCTTCCACAAAGGCTTATTAAGCTGTCAAGCAGTTCCATGAACTTATGGTTTTAGAGCTTATCCATGACCATTTCTCTGCATTCAACTAACTACCTGCCGATGACATAACATAGTTTACACTTCATCCTTAATTCAGCAGTGTGTTGTTTGGCTTGCTACTAAACTCCTGCATGTAGCAGCTTGGGTGCACAGTCCATATCATACAGTAATAGACATTCTCCTGCTACTCCTATCGCAATAACTAAACTGTACTTTACAAACCATGGGTCTGTTTATTCTGCTCTTTTCCATGTAAAACACTGAACAGAACAAAGCCTAAATCGGTCATTATAAAAGCTTTTAGTAAGCAGGGAAGACAACTAAGAGACATTTTTTTTTTCTTAAACCATAATTTGTCAGATTTAATTATGAACATGAACATAAATCTCAATGCGTAATCAGTAATTCTGGAGAAATCAAAGCACCGGAAGTGTACTTACCTGCCAGACTCCTACAACTGCGTTAGCGATCAAGATCAGGAGGATGACAAAGGGTTCCACAAAGGCTGTGACTGTCTCTTCACCTTCCTCAAACCAGGCCAGCACCTGAAAAAGAAGCACCGCTCATCAGGTAGGTGTTTATTTAATCTTTTACAGCACAGTGGAAACTGCCCTACGGTATTACTATTTATTGAATGCAGCATTAACCACATGGAGTATGTGTATAGATTTTGTACAGAGGGAGAGAGCTATAGAAATCCAGCACATAAAGACAGAATGATGGCAGCTGCCATTGCTGACTAGTTTTTGAAATTTTAAAGTTATTAGACTGTTATCTCAATCCTTTCGTTACTACTTAGTGAGTCTATAAATTCACTAAATCAGATTGCTAAGGGCCCTTCCATGAAAGGTTTGGTTCATTTCTGCATATGTTATGGTGATGCCTCTGTAGACTATTTCTTATAAGAATAAACTGAGTCTGTGTGATAATGTTTAATATATATACGTGTGCATTTTGACTGTTATAAAATGTGGATTGGTTCTCAAGCTTGCACATTGTTTCCTTGTTTAGGCTATACAAGAACACACCATAGCTGTAAAGATGCAAAGCCTGTCAACATATTTCTCATTGAAGCATTGCTACTTCAAATATGGCCCCCGTTATTGAGTAACCCATTGTGCATATCTTAACACGGTTCCTGTTGCATAAATCACACATATCGCCATGGCCTGCTTTACTGAGGTTCCTAGCAATTGTCCTCTAAAAGTCTGTAGACAGCAGAATCATAAAAAGCAATTTCACTTTTAATTCAGTCGTATATATAGTTAGTTTTTGCGTTTTGCACATTTTACCCTAATGGATGCGCCGCCTAGGCCAGTGTACTGCGGTTCTGAACAGCACAGTGTCACGGCAGAACCGCTGTCATTATAAACAGACTCTTGGGTTACAGTGGAGTAGATTTACAGCTATTTTATGGGGCCCTCTCATGCTTCATGCAGCTGTTGCCCTCGGAAAACACACAGCCATGCGGGGCTGTCACTCAGAGGCGGCAAGAAACTCCCACTGTCTCCCCTGACCTCCCTTCTCTCGCTGGGCCTCCTCCTGCAGTCTCCCAGCAGCTGTCTGACACTTGAGCTGGCCACTGGTCGGATCAAGTTATCTTCAAGACAAATTTAACCTGCAGAATGTGCCGCTCATTGGGGAAAGAAAAGGTCAGGGTTAGAACCCAGTTAACTCTTTCACGCTACCGGTATCACGTGTATGCTTGGGAAGCATGTGCCTGAACACAAAATATATGTTCTGGAACACCAAAGCAGACTTTTAGACTACAAAGGGCGTGGATCCTTATTTTGTGTTGGGCTAACAAGTGGCCCAAAATGTTGGTTATTTATTGTAATAAACCTGTGCCATTATTTCTGGGTGTTTGTTGAAAGTTCTCACATGTCTTAGGTGTAATGCTTTATACTTTTTGTTGAATGCAGACTGTTACTCTATGTTACACACGATGTAGTACATTTACATCCAGGTTAGGTATGTTTTCTATTCTTGTGT